CCAACGGGATCAGCCCAAATTCCAATGGGAATGACCCAAATCCCAACAGGATGGGCCCAAATCCCAATGGGATTGGTCCAAATCCCAATGGGATCGGCCCAAATCCCAACGAGAACAACCCAAACCCCAATGAGAACAACCCAAATCCCAAAGGGATCAGCTCAGATCCCAAAGGGATGGGCCCAAATCCCAAAGGGATCAGCTCAGATCCCAATGGGACGGGCCCAAATCCCGAAGGGATAACCCAAATCCCAAAGGGATCAACCCAAATCCCACCAGGACTGGCCCAAATTCCAATGGGATCAGCTCAAATCCCAACAGAACGGGCCCAAATCCCAAAGGGATCAACCTAAATCCCAACGAGACTGCCCCAAATCCCAATGGGACTGGCCCAAATCCCAACGAGACTGTCCCAAATCCCAATGGAACTGCCCCAAACCCCAAAGGATCAGCTCAAATCCCAACGGAACTGCCCCAAATCCCAAAGGATCAGCTCAAATCCCAAAGGGATCAGCTCAAATCCCAATGAGACTGGTCCAAATCCCAAAGGGTCAGCTCAAATCCCAAAGGGATCAGTTCAAATCCCAATGGAACTGACCCAAATCCCAATGGGACTGGCCCAGATCTCACCAGGATTGCCCCAATTCCCAACGAGACTGCCCCAAATCCCAAGGGGTCAGCTCAAATCCCAAAGGATCAGCTCAAATCCCAATGGAACTGCCCCAAATCCCAATGGAACTGCCCCAAATCCCAAAGGATCAGCTCAAATCCCAACAAGACTGCCCCAAATCCCAAAGGATCAGCTCAAATCCCAAAGGATCAGCTCAAATCCCAAAGGATCAGCTCAAATCCCAAAGGGATCAACCTAAATCCCAATGGAACTGACCCAAATCCCAATGGAACTGGCCCAAATCCCAATGGGACTGCCCCAAATCCCAAAGGATCAGCTCAAACCCCAACGGAACTGCCCCAAATCCCAAAGGATCAGCTCAAATCCCAAAGGGATCAGCTCAAACCCCAATGGAACTGACCCAAATCCCAATGGAACT